TCCTACAGCACCACCAAGGCTCCTTGACCACAGGCATGGAGGTTAGGATTTACCACACAGATTTTGGGGCACACAATTAAACCCATAACTCTACCATATGACACAGACTAGGTGTTTTCTAACCTAAGATCTCCTTTTTCCCCCTAGTGAGAGTCTGGGGTTCAATATACAGGTGAGCTTTTACCTTCCTCACCAACTGCTAACACCTCACCTCTTCTGTCTCACCAGCCCTCACTCCACCAGCCTCATTTCTTTGGAATCTCCATCTCCCCATCATTCCCGTCATGATTCTCCCTCCACCTCCCCCACTCCATGAATTGTATTCCCACCAAATGTAAAAGCTCAAGAAACCAAAGACCTAAGGGATTTTCTGGCAAAGTCTAAGAGGGGACAGAAGATACAACTTTCAGAGGCTGAAGAACTGGGGGCTGATTCCCTAGGGGCTGGGTGTGGACAACCTGGAGGAAGACATGGAATAAGAATGAATTTGGAGCAAGGCATTAGAGGGGTGGTCAGGAGGGAGGAGGGGATTCCTAGCCCCACCCTGCTTTGTCTGACCCCAGGGAAACCGGGCTGTTTCCTGCCCTTAGAAACTCCCCACTCCCATTCTGGAACAGGGCCCTGGCAGAGGTGTGAAGAGTGCCTCTTGCAGTAGGAAGCTGAGGGCACAGGGACGGGAGGTCCTGGCAGGCAGAGCTGTCCTCCTTGCAGGGTGGCAGGTCCTTGCTGCTCCCATGACTCTCTGAACTGGGCTTGACTCTTGTCACCCACAGACACCTGGCACCACCTTGCTTTTCCACCAAACTGCACTGTCTGGCTGGGACGCACCTCCTTGGCTTCCAGGCAAATTCATGCCCCTTCATCCATTCCCCTGCACCTCTGGGTGGACACTTTTCCACCTTCTCTCTACTGCCTGTTTTTCCAAAACCCCACCCAGAGAAGGGTCCAAATCAGAAAGGAAATAAAGCTACAGATGCCACTGGGTGTCTCTGTCTTGATCCCTGAACCCTCTCATGGATCCCAGGAGTGGGGATGTTTCCAGAGGACCAAATAGTGTCAAATAGGTGATATCTAGTCCCTCGTAGGAGTCCTGGTATGGTGTTAAGGGATAATGCACTGGACTGCAAGGTCGGTTTGAACTGCAAGGTCGGCGGTTCAAACTCATTGGCTGTCCCTTGGGAACCCTATACAATTGGAACTGACTCGAGGGCACTTAACAACAACAAAGTCCCTGGTAAGTCTTGACCTTACACAATTGTCCTTGTAAGAACCAAATGAGCTACCCACTATGGAATGGTTTTGTAAATAGCAGAGTCTTCTGTGACTGTAGGTGGGGGCTCTGGGCATACTCAGATCTTCCCGTGTCCCCCAAAAGGCCCTCCTGACGACTCTCTTCACTTCCAAGTCAATTCCAACTCATAGCAAACCTACAGGGTAGAATAGAACAGTCCCATAGACTTCATATTCATGGAATCTTTAAAGGAATAAAAATCCTCACAACTAGACCAATAAGCACATTATGACAGACAGAGAAAAAAAAAACTAATATTGTCAAGGATTCCATTTTACTTGGGTCCACAATCAACACCCATGGAAGCAGCAGTCAAGAAATCAAATGACATAGTGCCCTGAGCAAATCCGATGCACAAGATCTTGTTGAAGTACTACAAAGAAAGGTGCCATTTTGAGGACATCACGTCATATGCACGCCAAAGCTGGACAATGAGTAAGGAAGACTGAAGAACTGATGCTTTAGAATTATGGTGTTGGTGAAGAGTACGGCATATATCATGGACTGCCAGAAGAATAAACAAATCTGTCTTGGGAAGAATACAGCCAGAGGGACCAGTCCCTGAAGATGGGCATCATGCTAGGTAAAGCAGAGGGTCAATGGCTAAGAGAGGCAATCAACTGGACAGCCCCTAACAACACCAGTCTTTATGTGAACAGTTCTCCAAGTCTTTTCCCCAAGGAGGGAGTAGCAACTGGGCAGAGCAAGTCGCAGATAGTTAATTTCCAAGTTGAGAATTTAACTACTACAGCGCCAGGACTCAGAAATCCATCCAATCCATCACCCCCAACTCATGCCTCTCTCTCCAGCACCCCTAACCTGCACAGCTCACCCAAACATGTCTGTTAGGGAATGGCAGTTTCCTCACTGGTGTGGAAGAGCTTGCTGCGTGGGTCGGGTTATGAGTCCCATCCCATTACCCGGGAGGGTCAGTTCGTTACACCAACTCCTCCCACCCCAGCTCCTACCTGCCTGCTCCTTTCCTCCTCTGGGGAATCCGAAAGCCTGAGGGAGCTCACAGTGGCTTCCCACATAACCCCCATAAAAGATCATAAAGAAGTCTGTGCCCACCACTTCAGCCCATCACCAATTTCTAACTAGGACGAGTTTCCCGGGGCACCTGCAGGGCACCTCTACCCAAGTCAAGGGGGAAGCAGATGGAAGCCCTAAGGCCTTCCTTCTCCACAGGGGAATCGACAACTTCTGTGAGATGGAAAGGTGCAGCCCACCAGACACCAACTGTCTAGGTGAGGAAAGCGCCCTCCTCCTGCAGGGGAATCCAGGAGAGCAAAGAAGGTGGGCTCTCATTCAGGCCATGCACCATACAACCATAAGTAGAACCCCTTCTGCACCTGCAGGTCCCCAGGGTGACACCTCAAAAGCAGGATGAAATCACAGCATGGGTCCCAGCATTTTGGCAGCCCTCTTCCCCCAGAACACAGAGAGAGAGGAAATGAGAAAGAGCAGCCAGGGACACTCACCCAGGGTCATTACACCAGCGGTGGATGTCCAGAGTCGGAGAGCCAGCAGCAGGTCACAGATGGTCAGCATCTCATGGGCAGTCAGCCCATGGGCAGGGTCTTGACTTGTCAGGAGGGACCAATAAGTGAGAGCCTCCAGGGATCAGCTCTAAATAGGAGCCAGACAGACACCTCTGCCCTGAGAGAGGACAGCTCCTGGCCCAGTAGGGTGATGTGGTGATAGGGATGGCTGGCTGGTGTGAGAGGACCAGAGTTGGCCAAAGGGCAATTGGTCAGTCCTCCTCCCCTCACTGCCAGAGAGCTGTGTGTCCTGAGCCAGGATCTCCCCAGTAAAGACACAGTCACACAGAGGGCAGGACCATAGGGAGAAACAGAAGGTTGGAGGTGTGAGAGTCAGGTGGTCGCCAGGAGTCCAGGGCCACAGAATGACAGGGAGATACAGACTATGAAGGGTGAGGGAACCCTGGCTGGGGCAGGTGGAGCAAAGGACCCCTAGTAGGTCTCCAGCCCTACACCCAGAGGCGTGCTTTCTCCAGCCCTTCTCCCCATCATCCACCTCAGGTTCACCTTCCTAATCTCCAGTCCCCCCCACCCCTCAGACCCCATTCCCTAGCCCTTCTCCTAGATGGGGCCCCCATTCACACTTGAGGCTTTGTGGTCCTGGTGTCCACCCCAGGCCAAAGCTAGAGGGGAGAGGAGAGCACTTACCAGCCCTTCTCCCACCCCAGCCAATGAACCACACTATTTCAGCCAAGGGGTCAAAGATTTCTGACCATCCCCGGTCTTGACCAGCTTGAGTATCAAACACAGAAGGACCTAAGCCCCAGGCACGGACAAACCAGTATGTGGATGTGTATTTGGGAACAGATTTTAGGAGTTTAGAGGCCTTTGGTGATGCCAGCATCATCTATCCATGCAGCTGGGCTACTCCATCTCCCTGACCCAACTCTCAAAGCCCCAGTCCTAAGCTCCCAACGCTGAAGAACACAGGTGATAAATTCCAATAGAAGTGCACCTGCTACTGGTTCTGCCCCCACCCACTCCCTAACAAAATGCACCCCCCTCGGAGCTCCTGTTCACTATCAGGACACTCATGGGCCCCTGGGGAGGGAGGGGAAGAGAGAATGCCACACAACAAAGAGAACAGCACACAGCAATGTCTTTGACAATTAATGTTATATGTGTGTACATTAGAGAACTGCAGGCTTGCCAACTTCCCCAAACAAACCATATTTTCCTGGCAAAGGAAGTTCAGGGCTTCCGTGCTCAGAGGTTACTTCAATAAGGGGGTGATACCAGGGAAAGGAAGGGAGAAGGGAGTGGGGAGGGGCTGGGAAGGACAGGATAGGTGGGCCTAAGGGAAGGGGGCAGGATTAGGAGAAGGAGAGTGCTGAGGACATTTCCCCACTGGGGGCCCTCCTCTTCATTCTTGGGGACCTTAGGGAACCCTCCCACCCCACCCCCATCTGGGATCAAAAACAGTTAGCTAAGTGAGAAGACTGTGGGAGAGAGAGGAAGAGATGAGTCCAAGGATGAAGTGATCAGGGCCTAGGGAGTACTAGCTGAGGGACCCTAAGAAGCAGAGGGATAGGGGAGTGGGTAGAAAAGGGAGGAGCTAGGGCTAGGGCAATAGGATGGGAGAAGGAAGGATTTAGGGCTGAGGGTACAAGGACAGGGAAAGGGCTCGGGGCAGTGGTTTAAGGAATGAATCAGGAGTGGGGAAAGATTTAAGGAAGGGAGCAAGGGGCTCAGCAGGGAGGTCTATGAGAAGAAGGTACCAGGATGGAATGTAGGTAGGAGTGATGCAGAAAATAGGTCTCAAGCCTGAGAGCAGGGGGAGGATGCAGCACTGGGCATGGAGAGGGGCAACGTGAGCAGGACTGAGACAAGAAGGCTGAGTTGGGATAGAGAACTGATCAAGTTTTCACTGTGCAAAGTATCAGGACAAATGTGTTACACTCATGTTACAAGTGATGAAATTGATGTTCCGAGGAACTGACTGACTTGCTCAAGGTCCCCCAGTGGAAGAGTCTGGATTTGAACTGGGTCTCCAAGTGGGTCTCAGCAAAGTTGGGAGGTCCAAAAGATGGTCTAATTTTGTTCAAGGACAGCAGGAAGCCAGACTGCACAGGCTCTTGGGTCATTTCCTAAGATGGGCACATTGCAAGTGCTTCCATGCAGCTGTCCTGGGGCAGGGCGGAGGGATGCTGAAGAGGTCCTCACAGGGCTCATATCAAGGAGGAAGACACCTCTGGTCTTTGGATGTGTACCTGCCAGAGAGCAGGTGTGAAAGTCGAGAACAGGTGGCTAATCCTGCTGGGGCTGAATGGGTCCTAACCTAGACCCCTGCCTCTGAGGGAGGCAGGGGTGGGGGGTGGGGGAGTGAGGTCGTATCTGAATGGAAACAGAGAGATTCTTAGCACCCACCCACCCCCTTTGGCCTCCTCACCACCATATTGGTGTCCACGTTCTCCAAGGCTATCTCGAAGTTCTTGTTCTCCACTAGAAGGGCGGGGAGAGGAGGGCAGAGAAGTGAGGGGGGCAGTGTTTCAAGGGCTCGCCCATGCAGAGGGGAGCGCGCCGGGTAGTTGCCAGTCCTGAGCTAGAAAAGTCCCATAATCCTCTTCCGCAGGAGGCAGGCTCACCTATTTTGTCGTCCTGGAAGCCCAAATTTGAAAACGTCCCTACGATGTCCTTATCCCAGGTCTCTGACCATGTCCCGTCATCGGTCCAGGACCTAGATCGGAGTACCACACCACCATGTCAGGGCCACGGGCGTGTCACCTGTCCCCCCCCCGCCCCCCCGTGCCGCCCACCCTTCCCTGTCCCCGCCTGGGTCCTCTGCGCCCTCACCTGTCACGGGAGCTGCGGACTCTCTGCCAACGCACAACAAAGATGCCGGAAACCAGTAGCCCCAGCAGTAGCAGCACGGCGCCGGACAGGCCCCCGACCAGCGCCCTCCAGTGGACGGCCACCTCACAGCGCGGCCCGGTGAACCAGTGTGTGTTCGAGGAGAAACAGCTGGGGGCGGGGACGGGGGCGGGGACCAGTCACAGACGCCCACCACCATCCCTGCCGGGTCTTGCTGGGACCCCTCCAAAGTGAGCCCGTGGGCACACTCCAGTCAGGCCAGTGGGCGGGGTTAGGAGGGCGGGGCTCCCGGTGTGGGCGGGGCCTCACCGACACACTGGGCCACTCTTCTCCAAAAGGCATTGGCCCTGGTGACAGTCTAAGGCGCCCTGCACATCCGACATGCACTTGGTGACGCAACGGAGTTTATTCCCCTCAATCAAGGGGAAGTAGAAATCCTGGTAGTCCTTGGCAACGATGCTGCGGCAGAGGGCTGCGGGTTTGGGTAAAGATTGTGGAGATACAATGACCTTATTCCTGCAACTCAGGGCCCACTTATGGTGAGTCTGAAAATGAATGGGGAGGACTACTTTTCTGAGAGTGGGGTGTTGTGGATCCACCCTGGAGCCCCTCAGCCTCTCCTCACCAGAGTCCTCAGGAGGAAGCATCCGGTCTCCTGCCTCCCCAGGGAGCCTCAATGGGCAGGTGTGTCTGATGGGAAGTGTCATGGCCTCCTGGGGCCAGTCAGCACTCTGCCACATACTCACCTTCCGGGGTCAGGTCTGGCTGACTGTTGTTATTCACCTTGATAGAGTCAGGCTTAAAACACAGAGCTGCTGGAGGCAGGGGCAGGGGACAGAAGTAAGGCATAGACAATAAGGGAGAAAAAGGCACGAGGCCAGGAAAGCAGGGCAGCTTAAGAGCTGGGGGCAGAAAGGGCGCTTTCCATATGAGGAATGCAGAGGGGGCCACGGGAAGCGCCCCTTTCCCTTCCCTGAGATCTTGGTAATAACCAGGGATCACCAGTCACTCTGGAAACAGGGGACTACCTGTAGCGGATCTCTCCCTCAGTGCCCAGGCCCACACTCGACCCAGCTGGGTGTGGACCTGTATGCCTTCTCTCTACCGAATGACCTTAGGTGCCACAGGATGACCCCTGAGCCCAGAATGCTCCCTGCCTGACCTAGAGCAAACTAGGTGGTAGTTCTGAGCTTGGATCCCCCAGGCCCAGAAGCCTCTGCTCACCCTGGTCGTTGGTGCAGTCAGTCTCCTCCTGGCTGGCGTTCTGGAGTTGTTCCTTTAATGTTGTCTTCACCTTCTCATACTCACTTTCCAGCTGGACACTGAAGGGCAATTCCAGCAGGACCACGTAGTCCACCACAATGCTGCCGTTTCTAAGGGTGTTGGTGGGGAAGCTTTAGAAGGCACACAAACCTGGGGCACTTTGGAGGGGCACTTCCGGGACCAGCCACATGTGTGTGGTGGGGAGGAGGATCAGCACCAATGAGTTGGAATGCCACATGCATGCTCTGTCGGCCTGGGAAGGCTGGGGAAGGAATGGATTGTATTCTCTCTGCATTTCATCAAGCCATCCCCACACTCTGCTTTTCCCCTGCTGACGCTATCAGTAAACTAGGTGTCGGACAGAGATGGCCCAAGTCAACAGTCTGGACACCAGGGTTTCCACCAGTCCTCAGACTTCATTTAACCTTTTTGCATGCCCCCAGCTGTCTCCATCCTTGAACATGCTTGAAGAGGGGGGAGGTGACTACCCTCCTGAGAAATGACCTCTCAGATTCCCCCATGGAGTGAGTCCCTTGTGATGTTTCAGTGTATTTGATGAAATCCAGTGACTGTAAAGCAGGGGTGGGTTTTCTGACCTTTCTCCCCACTTCCTCCCTACCCCACCCATCACACCTCTACCACATGTCCAAAAGAGTCTCCTACCTTAAGGCCAGGATCTCCACACCCTTGAAACTCGGCACATTTTGGTAAATACGTTTTATCTGAAATGCCAAGAATTCCTGGGTTCACGTCGGAACCACCAGACCTATAAGTATGGATCTGGGCATAAGCTCAGGTCCAAAGGAGGATGTAGACCTAAGTACACCTCCAACCCCCATCTCACCTGCTTCTGGAAGGTGGTGTTGAAATCCCTGTAGGCCTGGGAAGTGCTGTCATTGAGGTCAGATGTGAACTCCTGCTCTACAGACACCTCCATGCCCACTTCAGCGGTCACGGTTTCTGCACACAGCATGCCCTACTCTGGTCACTTCATCTGCTCC